GAGAGATAGAGGCAGGCATATCTCTGTGAGTTCAAGGCCAGCCTGGTCTATATAACAAGTTCTAGCCCAGCAGGGACCGCACAGTGAGACCCTGTCTCAAAAACAATAACAACAACAACAACAAAAATAGAAAAGCAAAGAAAGAAGAAAGATGGGGCATTGGGGTTTAATTTTTTGAATTATTTATATCTTGTAGATATTACCTATCGGATGTATAGCTGGCAAAGATTTTCTCCTATTATGTTGACTGTACTCATCTGATAATTGTTTCCTTGCCGTGTAGAAGCCTTGAATTTCAAGGTGTTTATTTTTAAATTTTTATTTATCTGTTTTATATATATGAGTGTTTTGCCTGCATGTATGTAAGTGCACCCATGTAGTGCAAGGCCCTTGGAGGCCAGAAAAAGGCATCAGATCCCCTGGAATTGAAGTTAAGTTACTGATGGTTGTGGGTACTGGGAAGTGAACCCAGGTCCTCTGCAAGAGCAGCATGAGCTCTTAACAGCTGAGCAATCTCTCCAACCCAAGTTATGTTTATTTTTAAGGCAGTCTAAGTTATCTGTAATATGACATGTGGGTTTCATGTTTACGTGACCGCTAATATTATTTTAAATGCAAAATGTTTTGGAATTGTGCACATTGACTCAACCTTCTGCCCTGAAATCTCTAAGCAAAGAATATCCTGATGTTTAAGATATTTAGCCAATGCACAGTTGAATGGAAGTTGAAAATAAACTCTTCAATAGGAATAGAAGACTTATCTGCTGTTGCCTTATACTTTGAACTGGGACAGAAGTCTTGAACAACTGGTACTCCCAGCACCACTGTCACTCTGTGACTCATTTGTCTGATGTGCTTATTCAACAAATCTTTATTAAGCACTAGAGATAACTCGGGGAGCTCATAATTCAGAAGAGCCAGATGTTGTTCAGGGGTAACAGGTGTTCTTCTGATGCACTGGAGTGCCCATCCAAGACTGGGGAGATGACTCAGTGGGTAAAGCACTTGCTGCACAAATACAAGCACCTGAGTTCAAACTCCCAGAACCTATACAAAGCCAGGCACAGTAGAACATGCACCTCTAGTACCAGCACTCCTGTGGGGAGATGGGAGGCAGAGACAGGAGACTCCCCAGAATCTTGTGGGCTGGCTAGCCTGGTGTACATCATAGCAAGCCAAGAAACCCTTTCTCAAACAAGATGGAAGGCCAGGACCAACATCAGAGGTTGTTGTCTGACCTCCACAGGCGTGCTATGGCAATCACATGCCTGCATTTACACAAATGTACACAGAAGAGTGTACATACGGAAACAGAATATAGTGGGGCCACCCACACCAGTCTGTGAAGGAAGCAGCCTGGGAGGACAACCAAGTGTGAGGAGTTCGTTAGAAAGTATATCAGGGGTTACAGCATGACAGGGATGGTAGGGAAGATGGGTATTCGGTCACAGCAAACAATATGAGCAAAGCCACAAGAGCAAAACACAATAGCCACATGTGTTCACAGCAGTAGCCTAGGGCTGCATTCCAGCCCAACATGGACTCTGAGGCTTGACCATCATCTGGAGCTGAATTCTGACTATGCTGTTGGCTGTGTCCTTTAGCACATCAGATAATCTTGCCCTCTGATTCTTCATTTGTAAAGTGGGGGTAATAATACTACTTAATACGACCTACTTCATAGTATTGTGATTGTATTTGGTGGGTTGTTTGGTTGGTTTGTTATTTTTGCAGATAGGGTCTCTCCTATTCCAGGCTACTGGTAGGTCACCAAGAATAACCTTGACCTTTTGATCCTCCTGCCTCCACCTCCCCAGTGCTGAGATTACAGGTGTGCACCACCATGCCTGTTTTATGCAGTACTGGGGATTGAACTCAAGGCTTGCTAGGCAAGTAGTCTACCAACTACCACATTCCCAGCCATAAAGTTATTGTTTTAAATATCAGCAGCACCATATGTGAAGCACTTAGAATCGTGCCTACTGGTAAGGATTATGTAGATGATAAATCGGAGAAGATTTTAAGCAAGAAAACATCATAAGAGAGTTGTGTTTTTGCTATGCCATTCAGGTTTTAGATACAGACGAGGGAATGAAAGGACAGTCCACAGGTTGCTGCATAACCAAGGCTTGAATCAAAGGAATCATAATGAGCAGCTGCACAGATGGCTCAGGGGTTAAGTGCACTGGCTGCTCTTGCAGAGGACCTAGGTTCAATTCCTAGTACTCACATGACCGCTAACAGCTGTCCTTGACTCCAGTTCCAGGGGAATCCAGCACACACACCCCCACCTCCATGGGCATTTCATAACACAGGTGCATTTACATGCAGACAATACACTCATACACATAAAATAATAATACATAAAGTATTTATAAAAAGAAATCACAACGAAATGGACAGTGGAATTGATGACATAAATTCCTAGGAGGTAAAACCTGCAGAGCTTTATTGATTGGGCTTGAGGAAAGAGGAAAGATGTGGCTTCAGCTACAAACACAAAATAATCAATTCAGAATTGGAAGGAAGGCTAAAAAGAAAGTAATTCAATCACATAAGTTGACAGTTAAGGAAACAAAACTACTTCATGCACTGGGTGCAACCCAGAGACAAGTGTAACAAGAGTTCTGTGGCCTAAGCTAGGGAGATGGCTCAGTGGGTAAAAGTGCTTGCTGTTTAAGCATGAGGACCTGAGTTCAAATCCCCCAACCTACATAAAAGGTAATCAGAGTGAACCTATGGGGAGGGTGTGGGAGGTAGAAACAGGAACTCTGAAAGGTCACAGGCCAGCTATACTGATGGATTTAGTAGAAAAGCAGCAAAGAGACCCTGACACTGGAGGATGTCCTCTGACATCCACACACACACACCAGTGATACACGTGTGCTCACATTTATACAACACACACAGATACACACACACACACACACACACACACACACACACACACACACACACACACACACACACACACACACACACACATACCATGATCTAGCCAAAGATGACACTATTAACATTTTCAAATTCATCTTAATTGGCAATGCTTTTGTGGGTTTTCATAAGTCACATATATACTCATAGCAATCAGAGCTTCTACCATTCATGACTTCAAATATGTGTCTGACATCCTTCCTGATAATGTTTCTATAATGTGATTTGCCACACTGACCTTACTGCTTTAAGCCACTCTGCACTGCAGCGTCCTCTCTACTGGTCAATAATCTGGCACCCCTGTGCTCGCTGGTATGCCGCATTCCAAAAGTATTTTTTGGTAATAATTCTCAGTTGGTTTGTGTCACTTAAATTTACACTATGCTTCCGTGAACAGATGTGCCTGCAGATTCTTTTTAAAGGTGGCTATTTTGAGTTCCATAATATAGTGAGTCACTCTGAAAATTTGGTATTTTTTGTTGATTATGATTCAAAATAACTTTACTTATTTGAGGAAGAAAATCTCCTAGACCTTTGTATTTTTAATTAATTCTTTGGTCCCCTGATTAAATGCAGGGGAATACCTGGCCAGCAGAGGCCTCCAGGGCTCAGCTGAAGCCCTGTGGTTATTATAACTGGTCAGTGCTGGTGCTGTTTTGGCCATTAACTCTTCCCATCCTTGCTTATTTCCCATACTTACTCAGGGATTATGATTTCTCCAGAGAAGATTTTTTTTAATAAGCACAGATTTATCTTTTTAAAAAGTTTTTTATGTATGTACATATGCATATATGTGTGCAGGTGCCTGAGGAGGCCAGAAGAGGGCATCAGATCACCTGGAGCTGGAGTTACAAGTGATTGTGAACCACCCACTATGGGTTCTGGGAACCAAACTCAGGTCTTCCAAATGAGCAGCAGGTGTTCTTAACCAATGAGCCACCTCCTCCAGCTCTCCACACAGGCTTATCTTACACGGTTGTTCTATTGAACTCTTTCAGTCTTAAGATATTTTCATCAATAAGTAAACTGTTAAAATGTTAAAATTACTAAACACACACACATGCACACACATACACACACATACACGCACACACATACACACATACACACACGCATACATATACACACACGCACATGCACACACATACACACACATGCACACACATACACACATGCACACGCACACACACACATGCACACACACACACACCACTGAGCCCTATTTCTCTGTGGAGTAAGGAAAGTAAAATCCATTTTAGAGGGAAATAGATTTTCACATAGTAAGTTTTCCAGTGATGGAATCCAATGACTCTACAATACAAAAGCATTTCCTTCTGTTACTCTACCAAAGTCCTGGGCCAGATATTTAGATTTTTGACAAAACTTTTATCTTCCTTCTTATTTTAAAGTATTATACTCTTTTATTCAGTCTAGAAATCCATTCTATAAAACAATTTAGTAAAGATTAGAAAAATGATTAAGTGTATATAAATATATCAATTTTTAGTATCTGATGTTTCACAATTTCTATAAACATTGGCTCTTTGTTATATATTTCTAGAGTGAGTCAAAACATAAAATATTCCTACTGAAGATGGTCTGTGCTTCTTATATTTTAAATAATTTCTGACAGTGTTCTACTTAGGAAATCTTTAATGTTACTAAATGCTTGCTGGTTAATTTGGAATAGGATGTCACTGTGCTGACCAGGCTGGCCTCAAATTCCTGCTTAAGTCACCCTCACAGTCAGTGTCCCAGGCAACTGGCAGACAGGGGCTCTCACCACCCCCTGCTAATGTTGCTCCTTGTATCAGTCAACTGCATATTTTCTTACGTTTATTGTGTGTGTGTGTATGTGTGTGTGTGTGTGTCTGTGTGTCTGTGTATGTCTGTGTGTGATAGCACATATGTAGAGGTCAGAGGACAACTTGTAGGAGTGGGTTTCTCCTTCCACCAGGTAGGTTACCAGGATCAAACTCAGGTCCAGTCATCATCCTTGCTGGCGAGCACCTTCACACCTGAACTTCTCCCAGGTCCGTGTTTTTAATGTTTCTTTTTCCCTGCAGGTATTCTTGGCGTCATCAACTGAGAGAATTTAAAAGTGAATACAGAGTTGTTGCGCTGGATTTGAGAGGCTATGGAGAAACAGATGCTCCTGTTCATCAAGAGAATTATAAACTGGACTGTCTAATTACAGATATAAAGGATATTTTAGACTCCTTGGGTAGGTGAGCTATTTTTACATAGTGTGCTGCACAGCTTTGGTTGTCAACTTGACACACCTGGGTAGAGGGAACCTCAACTGGGGAATTTCCTCCATTGGACTGGCCTGGGGCCATGTCTGTGGGACATCTTCTTGATTACTGAGTGATGTAGGAGGGCTCAGCCCACAGTGGGTTGTGCCACCCCTGGGCAGGTTGTTCTGTGTTGTATAAGAAAGCAGGCTGAGCACAGGCCAGGAGACCAAGCAGCATTCCTCCATGGCCTGTGCTTCAGCTCCTGCCTCTAGGTTCCTGCCTGGAGTTCCTACCTTAGGCTCCCTCATGATGAACTGTGACCCAGGAAATGTAAGATAATATAAACCCTTTCTTCCCCAACTTGGTATTTACTAGAGTGTGTTGTCACAGCAATTGAAGGCAAAGTAGAACACATAGTATTAATTCCTTTTAAGGAAGTAACATTTAATAAACTGAATTGATCACTTCTTTTCTTGAGAGGGTTTTTTTCCATCTACCATCCTGTCTTCATGGTTTTTGAGTAAATAGTTCAAAATATTTGTATAGGAAATTTAAAATCATGTATCCTGAGTGTTCAGTTAAGAATGGCTTTCAGAACTGCTTTTAAAAATAAGCATTCCTAGTGTGGGGTGGTGATGCACACTTTTAATCCCAGTACTCGTGAGGCAGAAGCAGATGAATCCCTATGAGATCTAGGCTAGCTTGGTCTAAATAGTGAGTTCCAGACCATCTGGGGCTACAGGGAGACCCTGACTCAAAATGAATGAATGAATGAATGAATAAATAAATAAATAAATAAGCCTTCCTTAGGGCTGGAGTGATAGGTCAATTACTGCTTGGCCAGCATGCCCAAAGCTCCGGGTTCAGTCCCTGGCATAGCACATATAAGTAACTAAATAAACTTCTCTTCATATATATTATATATATATATATATATAATGTATCTTAATCATATCCAACCCAAATTCTCCTTCCCACTCTCTCCTGTGCCCCCAATATTTTCTCCTCCCACCTTCATGAACTCTTTTCTTTTAATGACCCACTAAGTATAATTAGTACTGCCTGCATGCCCATAGGTATGAGGCCATCCACTGGAACATGGTCAACCTATCAGTGGCCACATCTCTAAAGAAAAATGACTCCTTGTCCTCCAGCAGCCATCAATTGCAAGTAGCTCCTTAGTTAGGGGTGGAGCCTCATGAGCCCCTCCCCAAATTATGTGGGAATGTTGACAGGCTTGATCCTATGCAGGTAACCACAGCTGCTGGGATGTCGTGAGTTCAATGACCACATCGTGCACAGAAGACAGCATTTCACAGCACTCCTCCCCGTCCTCCAGCTCTTATATTTTCTGCCCCCTCTTCTCTGATGTCCCCTGAGCCTTATAGGGAGAGGGGTTGACATAAAAGCCCCATTTAGGGCTGAGCATTCAACAGTCACTTATTCTCAGCACTTTGGTTAGATACTAGATTCAGATGTACAGACAAGTTATGGAATTATTGAAATATCTATAAATAGTTATACCTTTTTTTGAGCCAGTGTCTTATGTAATCCAGGCTGGCCTTGAATGCCCAATTCCACCTTCCAAATGCTGGGATTACAAGTGTGGACCACTAGGCCCAGCTCAATAAATCTTTTAAAGATGCATAATTTATAGGACATGTTGACTTTCAAGAGTACACTTGTTTTATGTGAAGTAATGATGCCCTGCTTCTTTACAATGATGTCAACATTTTTTTTTCTTGGTCACAGGGTATAGCAAATGTGTTCTGATTGGCCATGACTGGGGAGGCATGATTGCCTGGCTAATTTCCATCTGTTATCCTGAAATGGTGATAAAGCTTATTGTTATTAACTTCCCTCATCCGAATGTATTTACAGGTGAGTTTAAATTTTTATTAAAATATCTCTGCTAATGTGATAATTCACTATTGTCACTGACATTTTGGTTTTAAAACAGCAAAATGTGCTTAACATAATCTTTTAAAAATCAACTGATGAAGGCCTTGGGCATTGTAGTACATGCCTATAATCTCAGCACTTGGGAGGCTGAGGCAGGAAGTTGAAGGGTACAAGGCCGGCCTAGGCTATATAGTGAGACTTTTGCCAAATAAATAAATAAATAAATAAATAAATAAATAAATAATAAATAAATAAAGTAAATAAAAATATACTGACTAACCAAGATGGTACTTGACCAAGTTATGTATCTTGGTTTGTTTATTTATTTTGTTTTGGGGGACAGGATCTCACAGTGTAACCCCAAATGAGCTCACACTTGTAGTGCTCCTTCCTCAGCTTTCCAGGTACAGGAATTACAGGCATTGCCACCAAGTCCAGCTCTTATATATTTATTTATTGTGTGTGGAGGGGAGGGTGTGTCTGTGTGTGTGTGTGTGTGTGTTGGGGATTGAACCCAGGTCCTCATAAGTGCTAGGTAGAAACTCTCACTAAGCCACACTGCTAGCCTAATACCTTGGTTTTAAATCTTCCTGAAAAAGCTAGCTTCCGATTTGCTTGTATAATTTCATTCTTTTTTGGAAAATATGTCACTGCTAACTTGGTGAGGGATAAAGGAAAAAATGTGGTGGCAGTACTTTGAAAGTCATGAATCTTAACAGAAATAAATTTTCTTTTCTGACTAGTTTAGCTATTGAATACAAAACTATTCTTTATAACAGCAATTCTCAAATGTTTGGCCTCAGGATTTCCTCATACTCTTAAAATTATTATAGATTTCAATGATATTTTGTTTATATAGACTGTCTCTATAAATTGTTACTATTTAAGAAATTAAAGCTGAGGTGGCTGGAGAGTTGGCTCAACAGCTAAGAGCACTGACTGCTCTTGCAGAAGACCCAGGTTTGATTCCCAGCACCTACATGGCAGCTAACAACCGTCCTAACTCTAGTTCCAGGGGATCCTATGCCATCTTCTGACATCTGTGGGCATGGCACAACATGGTGCACTTACACACATGCAGACAATACACTCATACACATAAAAATTTTTTAATTAAATTAAAACAAAAATTAAACCATTTATGTATTGATTCATTTTTAGAAACCCATTGCATATTAACATGAAGACTGCATTTTAATGAAAACAAATTATATTACACAAACTAATTACACTGAATACATTTTTAGTAAATAGAAAGTTACTTTTTACATTCTGCAAATCTCTTTAATGCCTGACATAAGAGAAGACAGCTGGATTCGCCTCTGCTTCCGCATTCAATCTGTTGCAATATGTTCTCTGAACTCAAGGGTGGGAAGAAGTCTGGCCTTGAACAAATTTGTCATTGGCAAAAGGCAGGAGTGTTTTAATAACCTTTTCAGATAATGGTGGCTTTTCTTCCTTAATACTATACCAAACTCAAAAATTAATGGCTTCTTAAAGGTTAGTAAGAATGTGGATGTGCTAACATATAAATGAACTTTGTGTGCCCCCCTATTACACTAAAATCTGTGGATCTCTGTAGCACTTTGAATGACTCTTATCCATGGATGAATTTTTGCACTATCACACACTGGAAGATTAGTGATTTGCAGAGTTATGCAGATCTTGAACAAGTTGATACATTTCGTTTTCTAACATTTAAAAAAATTACTTTCGTTAATACCACCCTCATCTAATCAGAAAAGTTTTCCACATTAAAAAAGCCTCAAGCTCATAGTAGCATATACAAAATTTCCAAATTTATAATTTTTATTTGAAAACCTGAATTGTTCTAATGGCAACAGATACAGTGGATTGTTTTCCTTTAAGGATGGCCACCATTTTGATCATTTTCAAGAGATTATCAGAGAATGTGGTGGTGTGTGCCTTTAATCCCCGCACATGGGAGGCAGAGACTGGCAGATCTGTGAACTGGAGGCCATCCTGGTCTACATAGACTGCAAAGAGAGTTCCTGGTCATCAAGGGCTACATAGTGAAGCTGAGAGAGAGAGACAGAGAGAGACAGAGAGAGACAGAGAGAGACAGAGAGACAGAGACAGAGACAGAGAGAGACAGAGACAGAGAGACAGAGAGAGACAAAGAGAGAGACAGAGAGAGACAGAGAGACAGAGACAGAGAGAGACAGAGACAGAGACAGAGAGACAGAGACAGAGACAGAAAGAGACAGAGACAGAGAGAAAACCTGCCAAATATCCATGTTTGACCGAGGATAGTTTTTTGGTTCTTCTTTCAAGTAAAAATGGTATTCCAGAAAGAAAATGAAACATTCCTTCACTAATTCAATTGCATTTCCTTGAGACCACTTTTGTATTGGGGTATGCAACCAAACTGTGTTATAGGTCCTTTATATTTGATTGCATGGACTATTAAAAAGATGTATGTGGGCTGGAGAGATGGCTCAGCAGTTAAGAACATTGTTCTTGCAGAAAACCCGGGTTTGAATACCCGCACACACATGGCAGCTAACAACTGTCCGAAATTTCAGTCCCAAGGGATCAGACAGCCTCTTCTGATCTCCACCAGCATTGCACAACATGGGTGCACTTACCTACATTCAGGCAATACATGCATACACATAAAATAAAAATAATAAATAATTTTTTTAAAAACGATGTGTGTTCAAAGCAGGGCATGGTGGTGCAACCTTTAATCCCAACACTGGAGAGGCAGAGGCAAGTGGATCTCTGTGAGATCAAGTCCAGCTGGGTCTCCATAGTGAGTTCCAGATCAGCTGGGGCTACAGAGAGACTCTGTCTCAAAACAAACGAACAAACAGACAAAAAGAAGTTTGTTCAAAAGTTGAGAACTAATAAAATTAATACCTTTGATACTTTATAACAGACATTGTTATGTGAAACTGCCACTTGACTTAATTAGCTAATTTCCTTACTGTAACTGTGCTGTGAAGATAATGACTTTGGTGCTTCTTCCAGAGTCATACCCCTTTTGGTCCTCTTGGTGTTGTCACATCTAATTTGTAGCCCACTAAGAAGACGGGAAAAGTGCCCTCGCCCAGCCTCTTCCTAGTGGCCTCTCTATGCCTCTTTTCTGCCTTTTGTCTTTACTCTTGTCCCTCCCTTGGGCTCTGAAAAAAAATTGCTGACTGAGCTTTGGAAGTTTAGCTCTGAGAATCGTAGACAATTTGAGTTCTAGGAAAATAAAACCCATTGATTACTAAAAACAAACAAACAAACAAACAACCGAGTGGCTCTTATCAACTATGCTTTTGTATCATCAGTGAAAGTTTCAACATAGTGAAAACAACCGAATAACGTTCTAATATCATTATGAAGTAGACTATTGGGATAACTTCAGAAGATCTTGGGCATCCTCAAAGATGCACATAAACTATCCTTTGAAGAGAACTTAAAAAAAAATTTATTTATTCACTGACTGCTCTTGCAGAGGACCTGGGTTTGATTCCCAGCACCCACATGACAGATTCAACCCATCCTTAACTCCACTTCCAGGGGAATCCAAAGCCCGCTTCTGACCTCTGCAGCATTGCACGACACAGTTGCACTCACATACATGAAGAGAACTTTTTATTTTATTTTATGTGAATATTGCTTGTATGTATGTAAGTGTACCCATGTTGTACAATGCCCGAGGAGGACAGAAGAGGTGGTCAGATCCCCTGGAACTGGAGTTACAGATAGTTGTTAGCTGCCATGTGGGTGCTGGGATTTGAACCTGGGTCTTCTGCAAGAACAGCCAATGTTCTTAACTGCTGAGCCATTGCTCCAGCTCCCAAAGAGAACTCTTAAATGCTTAATGGTGATTAACAACCCATTAGCAATGGCTGTCTGTGTTTATATTTGGTTTGGGCAAAATTATAATGTTTTCTTGTTTAACTACTCTCATTAGGTTTTTCTGAGGTTCAAGTACTTCTAACACCCACAGAAGCCCTTTAGGAAACAATAAGTTCAGAATAAGAGGTTGCAAGATGGTTCAGCAGGTAAAGACACTAAGCCTGATGACCTGAATTCAATCCCTGGAACCCATCTGGTAGAAAGAGAGAACCAACTTCCACAGACTGTTGTCTGACTGCCAAATGCATACTGTATGTGCATGCTATGGCACATGAGCACCTATACACACACAAAGAAATGTTTTAAATTTATTTTTATTTTATGAGTGTTTTGCCTGCATATATGTAAGAACACCCATGCATGAAATGCCCACAGATGCCAGAAGAGGGCATTGGATCTCCTGGACTAGAGTTACAGATGGCTGTGAGCTGCCATGTGTGTGCTTGGAACCAAATCAGGGTCTTTTGCAAGAGCAGCTAGTGTTTGCTCCAGGCAAGGTTCCAGCCACTAAAGGTTCCATAACCTCCCCCAAAACACCACCAGCTGGCACCAAATGTTCAAGTGCATGAGCCTATGAGGAACATTTCTCATTCAAACCACAACATGGCCTACTTTTTCCTTCAGTTGAATTGATATCTCTTAATGTAACCATGAATAAATTTTCTTCAATGATGACTTCACAAAAAGTCTGGCCTAACAATGGTATACTTACCTGAAAATTATATTTCTAAAGCCTCTAGTCATATTGAGTATATTTACAAAACAAGAAATGAAAAACAATCCTCCACAGCAATGAAGTATCACGCACAATACCCGACAAGTATACATACCCAGCCTGTGTCATCACATTACTCCAGCTTAAGGCTTCAGTATCTTGCCAAAGCACTTAAAATAAAATCCTTACCATTCTACTCCTACCTGAACAGGCTTGCGTTCTTTCTTCTTGGATTCATCTCATTGGCTCGCCCTCCCCTCCCCTCCCACCATCCACTCTGGCATTCTTTCTGCTTCTGCCCTGCCAAACCCAAAGCTGTGTCCCTATTACCATTCAACACTAAGCCCATATGCCACATCCTCATAGATGCCATCTCTGACCAACTCTATTCATGGGTCCTCCAACCTATCCCACTATCACTAAGACTACCTTTTTTTATTTCCCTTATGATATTATTACTCTACAAAGTGGTGTGTGTGTGTGTGTGTGTGTGTGTGTGTGTGTGTGTGTGTGTGTGTTTTGCTGGGGATTGAACCGAGGGCCTTGTGCTTACTAAGCAAGCACTCTACCATGGAGCTACATACCTGGCCCTGGAGTGATCTTTAAATTATTTGTTGCTTTCTTTGCAGAGGACCTTGCTTATGGGAACTTTTTCTGTCTAATTCACTGATAAATTCCCTGGCTCACATTAGACACTCAAATCATTATTGAATAAATGAATTTCTTAAATACATAAATGAATTTATAGGAAATGTTTTGATTCTTTTTGAGCATCAATGATAAGGACTTCAATTTGATTTGGGTTATAAGCAAAATCTTTTAAACAATGGGAAACTACACCACCATAAATTCCTAAGTGTTAGGTCTCTGATCATGACCTTGGAGGGCAAGCAGTGTTATATGGGCTTCTTGTTTTCAGTCAAGGCTTTATAGAGTGGAACTTTTCTTCTTAGTTTAAGTGGTATACATTTTCTTTCTTTCTTTTTGGGAAGAGGGTGTGTTTGTTTGTTTGTTTGTTTGTTTGTTTGAGACAGGGTCTCCCTATGGCTCTAGCTGACCTGGACCTTGATATGTACACCAGGCTGGCCTTGAACTCAGAGAGATCCACCTGCTTCCCCTTCTGCTTCCCAAGGCCTGACATTAAAGGTATGCTCCACCATACCCAGCCTGGTATATATTTTCTAAACACAGGAAATACCTGTGTTTATTAAAAACATAAAAGAATGTGGAAACTTCTGAAAAAATATATAGAAGCTTTAATTGCAGATTCTTCAATGGGATCATCTTACAAGTGAAAGTGTCCTTAAAGATTCTCCCAATAGTAACTTGCACCTCTTGAGTAAAGTCTAACATAGCATTTTAATTTCAGACTATATTTTACGACACCCTGCCCAGCTGTTGAAATCTAGCTTTTATTACTTCTTCCAAATACCACGGTTTCCAGAATTTATGTTCTCAATAAATGACTTCAAGGTAAGTCAAACAAATAATTTTTTCTGATTATTATTAATGAAAAGCATTTTAATGGAAGTCCATTTTTTTAAAAATGAAAAATGAAATTTAAAATGTTACAACTTAATGAATGGGTTTAAGGACTTTCCCACAGACTTACCTTTTTTAATGTCTTTATTCATGTGTTTGAATGCCTGGCCATTTAACTTTGTGTGACAGCTTGTTTCTTGTAGGCATTTCTTTGCAGGAGATATCTCATGTGGAGATGGGAAACTGTGAGCACTGGGTGGGAATGCTTGACAGCAGCAGAAGGCACACAGGTGTTGCTGGGCAGATGTTGGTATAGCATATATACCAACCTGCAAATGTTGTTGAATGTTTCTTCTATGTCCAAAACAGCATTAACTATTGAGGAAACAAAGCCTTTTAAAAAGTACTAATAATTTTACAGGAACTAATTCTATGTACATCTCTGACAAATGAGGACCCTTTAGGGGTGGGTAGAGTTCTAGAGAATAAATCCAATGAACTCAAATCTTTGAACATGTTAAGCATACCCTAACTACCGAGATACAACCCAGCCAATAAGGGCTTAAAAGAAAAACTTTCTGCTGGGCGTGGTGGTGCACGCTTTTAATTCCAGCACTCGAGAGGCAGAGGCAGGCAGATCTCTGTGAGTTCAAGGCCAGCCTGGTCTACATAGTAAGTTCCAGGACAGCTGGGGCTACAGGGAGACCCTGTCTCAAAAAGACCAAAAAAAAAAAAAAAAAAAAGAAAAGAGGAAAGAAAAACTTTCCATACTACTATCAACCTAACAAAATAAAGTCAACTCTTAAATATCATTATCACTTATTATCTATTTAAATTTCCATAATGACTTCAGTTGTCTTGATACACTTCATGTATTTGAATCAGGAATCAAACAAGGCCACACATAGTATTTGATTGTTATAGCTGTTTGTTTGAGTGTTGTCTTTTCCTTCCCATTCCTTTTCTATCCTTTTCCTTTGCTTTACTCTTTTTTTATGATTAAGATTTATTGTATGAAACATATAAAAACTCAATAAAAATATACACTAAAAATAAAAGAATTAAAATTTTTTGAAAAAAGAATAAAGGGGTGGGTGAGATGGCCCAGCAGGTAAAGGTGCTTGCTGCCAAGACCGAAGACTTGAGTTCAAACCCCAGGGCCTACATGATAAAAAGTGAGAACCAACTCCTGAAAGTTGTTCTCTGACCTTTACACATGTTTCAGGGCATGGGCACACACACACACACACACACACACAGACACACACACAATGTAATTAAAAAATAATGGAGCTGGAGGGACGGCTCCACTAGCTGGGGCTATGGGGTATGGTGAAAGGGAGGGAAGAAGGGAGGGAGGGAAGGAGGGAGGGAGGGAGGGAGGGAGGGAGAAAATCAGTCTCCATAGCACCCCACCCCACACTGTGGGGCCACACCTTTGGGGGTGCCACTGGATAGTGTTCACAAGGACCTTCTAAAAATAAGATGGGGTGGGGGAAGGCCTAAGTGTCACTGCTAAGTGGTGGCCAGGGATAAGAACAGCAGAAATACAGGGCTATTGAATCCCAAGAGACAGGGTTCCATGTGCAGGTCCTAGTTAGGATGATGGATGGGCAAGGGACAAGGGGACACGATGGCCACAGCAAATATGGAGAGACAGGGAGAGGGAGGCTTGGGGACAGCTCAGTACCATCACAAGCCTCATAGGGACCTGACAGGAAGCAGATGTAGGATGGCGTAGAGATGGTCACAACCTTGTCCCTGACCATGAGAGGCCAGAGAAAAGCAAAACCCAAACTTACGTCCGGAATGAACTGGCTGGGTGTCATGGGCTTTGTGCAGTAATTAAAAGGCTGAGCTCCCTCTCACCAAAAGCCAGCCAGTGCCCCCCGAGTACCTTTGTTTTACTCTTTAAGAGACTCACTATGTTGCCCAAGCTGTCTTTGAATTCCTAGCCTCAAGAACTCCTCCTGCTTCAGCCTCCTGGGTAATTAAGACACCAGCACACCTGACAGTTACAACTTTTTAAAAATGATTTGGATTCTTTTATTCTTTTCTTTAAAATATCACTTAGCAGGCTGGATGTGGTGGCACATGCCTTTAATCCCAGCACTTGGGAGGCAGAGGCAGGCAGATCTGTATGAGATGGAGGCCAGCCTAGTCTACATAGAGTTTCAGGTCAGCTGGGGCTACAGGGAGACTCTGTCCCAACAAACAAACAAAAACCACCACCAACAATACTTGGCAAGGCATGGCGGCACACACTGCAATCCCAGCACTTGGAAAGCAGAGGCAGCAGGATTGCTGCAAGCCTGCCTGGTCTACACAGTGGCAGAAGTCCACCTGCCTGGTCTACACAGTGACAGAACTCCACCTGCCTCTGTCGCCGGAGTGCCGCCACACATGAAAAACTGGTAATTTTCTAATTCTATCATTTTTCTGCTTTTATTAACTAGAATTCTTCATTAAATATATCTCTTCAAATATTTTTATTAGCTCTGAGAATTTCACACAATGGATTTTTATTATATTCACCCATTAAGTGTCTTTTTAAAGACATTTATTTTTATGTGTATGAGTGTTTTGTCTACACGTATTTATGTACACCACATGCAGCATACCGTGCCCAAGAAGACTAGCAAAGAGCATTGGATCCCCTGGAACTGGAGTTACAGGTGGTTGTGAGTCACCCAATGTGGGTGCTGGGAACTGAACCCAGATCTTCTGAAAGAGTAGCAGATGCTCTTAACCAGTGAGCCATGTCTCCAGTTCAACTGGAATTCTTTTGAAAATAATTTTTCCATATCTTCTATTTGGTTGTTTTAAAATATAGTTGTTCTTAAATACAAAATGATAGAATAAATTCTTAATGTAATGAGAATTTTTTATATATACCAATTAATTATAGTCCTTATTCTTTTGTTGTTGTTGTTGTTGTTTGTTTTTTGGTTTTGGTTTTTGGTCTTTTTGAGACAGGGTCTCCCTGTAGTCCCAGCTGTCCTGGAACTCATTATGTAGACCAGGCTGGACTTGAACTCACTGAGATCCCCCTGTCTCTGCCTCCCAAGTGCTGGGATTAAAGGCGTGCACCATCCCGCTCAGCAGTTCTTGTTTTTTTGAGGCCCACATTATCCCATGTTAGGCAAATAGGAACACCTGCAGTTTGGCTTCTGTATATTTGTTACATAATTCCTTTGTTCTAGTTATTTTCTATTGCTGTGATAAAGCACTGACCAAAACCAACTTGAGGGAGGAAAAGGTTTATTTGGCTTATAGATCACAGTCCTTCTTTGAGGAAAGCCAAGGCAGGAACCTGGAGGCAGGAACTGAAGCACAGACCATGGAGGAACACTGCTTACTGGCTTGCTGCCCTGGCCGGGGCTCAGCCTGCTTCCTTATACAACCCAGGACCACCTGCCCAGAGGTCACCCACAATGGGCTGGACCCTCCCACATCACTCAACAATCAAGAAAATGCCTCAGAGACATGCCCATAGGCCAGCCCTATAGAGGAAATTTCTCAGTTGAGGTCTCCTCTTTCTAGGTGTGTCAAGTTGACAACCAAAGCCAATCATGACACTCTTATGTCGATGATGGTTGATAATTAATAGTGAATGCTTTGCTTTGCTCAGAAATGTTAGGGCTTACTGTAATAACCTGTCTGTTACTTCCTGCTGAGTCTAGAATCAGCCATTTAGCAAAGGAACTCTAGTTCCTTTTAATAGGAAATAGTATGTAGAGACCACAGTCTGGGTGTCAAGGTGATCATTGTTACTGAGTTTTCAGTGCTTCTAAATCTTTCCATCAGAAAAAATTTAGGTATAGTTTTTAGGAAAAATAAATAAACCATGAGTTCTTAAAGTAAATTTAAGATAGAATTTTTACTTAACTTCTCTGATTATACATGAAGCATTTGTATCATTCCATATCAAAACTCTAAACAAAGCACATTTCTCTGTTCCATCGACTCTGTTCTCCCCCTCTGTTCTAAGAGGTCATTTTATTTAGTTTTGGTTTATCTCTTTATTTTTCTAACATAAATCCTTCTTACACAATGGATGATGTACTATAGACACTATTTTCCATGCTAGTGTTTTGTTTACTTTATTCTTATTTTTTACTTAGCAATGAATCACCCCACATAACCATAAGGATTATTTCTGTGCTTTCTTGTAGTGCTAAGAACACACCATACCCCATTATGTGACTGTGCTACTGTTTACTCAGCCAGCCCTCCATTGATGGATATTTTTTTTGTTTCCAGTCATTTTCAATTACAAATAATGTAGTTAATCACCTCATGTATATACCATTTCACATTTTTGCAAATATGTTTGTGTGTAGAAGGACTTCAAAATTTTCGAATTGCGTCTTACTTATATATTCATTTATTTTGCATGGGTGTGTGTCTGTGTATGGCATGGCACATGTGTGGTGGTCAGAGGACAACTTGTGGGAGTTAGTTCTCTAATTCCACCATGTGGGTCCTGGGGATTAAACTCAGGCCAACATGGTTGGCAGTAAGCACCTTTATTTGCTGAGTCATCTTGCTGGCCTCTGGGACTTACATTTTCAAAAAAATATTTTATTCATTATTTTTATTTTATGTGTATGTGTGTATTGCCTGCGTGTAGTTAAGTGCACCCGTGTCATGCAATGCCCATGGAGGACAGAAGAGGCTGTCAGATCCCCTAGAACTGGAGTTACAGACAGTTGTTAGCTGCCATGTGGGTGCTAGGATTCAAACCCAGGTCTTCTTCAAGAACAGTCAGTGTTTCTTAACCACTGAGCCATCTCTCCAGCCCCCAGGACTTACATTTTAAATAAGTATCCCAATTACTCTAAGCAGGTGCACTGAGAAATGATGGTATAGAATAGTGCTTTTCGAAATGTGGGTGGGGACCTACCAACGAGTCAATTTATTAGTTTTCAATACGAATTTTTAAATATTGGACTGGAGAGATGGCTCAGTGGTTAAGAGCATTGACTGCTCTTGCAGAGGACCCAGGTCCGATTCCCAGCACCAACATGGTGGTTAAAACTATCTGTAGCTACAGTTCCAGAGGATCTGACACCTTCTTCTGACCTCCCACGGGCATTGCACATCACAGGTGCACTTACACACATACAGGCAATACACTCATACACATAAAATAAAAATAATTTATAAATTTTTTTAAAAAAAGAATTTTTAAATATTAAGTGTAACAGAATTGTCTGGAAAATCAGTGTATGATAATAGGACTAAAGACTATTTTTGTAAAACCTTGTTTCATATATTTATGAAACTGGTATGAACTGAGGTACAAACTAGCTCATGAAATATATTTCTTACTCTGGTTTGAATAACTTTGTAGGAACAGGATTGGTCATCACTAAACAATAGTTGGAATATTAAGTGAAGCTTTTTGGTAGGGGTATCACTTAGCTGGAACTCATAGACTATGAATAGGTATGAAGAAAGGATGTTTTCATGAGGGTGAAATATAGAAAGGGAATTGAAAGAAAAGAATATTCACAAAGAAGGCTAGGAAAACAGAAATGCATGAAAGGCATTCATAAGCAATGAGGTCTTGAACTTGACTGGAGCAAAAATGAAGAATTCTCACTTCATGTTGACCACCTTCCCCACCTCCCCCCACCCCTGCTTTTTTTTTTTTTTGAGACAGGTCTCATGTAGCCCAGGCTAGCCTCAAACTTGCTGTGTAGCAAAGGATGATCTTCTTGACTCTACCTCCCGAGTGCTAGACTGACAGGCATGTGCTACGTGGTTTAAGCAGTGCTAGGGATTTAACCGAGGGCTTTGGGCATGCTAGCCAAGTACTATACCAACTGAGCTACATTGCTAGCCCCCTTTAAAGTCAGAGATTCAGTTTATTATTAGATAAATGAACAATTTAAATTATTCTCTTTTTGCTTAAATTAGGCATTGAAACACCTATTTACAAGTCAGAGCACCGGCATTGGAAGGAAAGGATGCCGACTGACAACAGAAGATCTTGAAGCTTACGTTTATGTCTTTTCTCAGCCTGGAGCACTAAGTGGTCCAATTAACCATTATCGAAACATTTTCAGGTCAGTATAATTTCTGTCGAGTCAAAAACATTTCAGCCTGATCCCAAAGAGAAAATAATTTATTTTTAAATTGTCTTAAAATTAACTCCAAAGAATCAAACACAACAGTCTGTGTGTGTGTGTGTGTGTGTGTGTGTGTGTGTGTGTGTGTATACATTCCTATGTGTGAATGTGGTGTGCTCCCCATGCCACAGTGCACATGTGGAGGTCAGAGGACAACCTTGGGTATAAGTCTTCACCATCCACCTTGTTCACAGTAGGCTCTCTTGTTTCTTCCACTTTGTACACCAGGCTAGCTGGCCCAAGAGTACCCAGGGATTCTCCTGTTTCTGCCTCCCATGTCCCCATAGAGGACTAGGGCTACAGACGGTTGTCCTATATGTCCACTTTATATGACTTCTGGGGATTTGAACTTGTGCTTGTGTGGCTAGCTCCCCAGCCCCAAACACAGTATTTTGTTTTTGTGTGCTTGTTTTTAGTTTTTGTAAAATCTTTTTTCATAGAAAATTTAAAACATGAAAAAGTAGAGAATAGAATAGTAGATCCTCATGTGGCCAACACATGTTTTATCCGTAACTCTATCCATTTAGTCCTTCTTTTGAATTATTTTGAATAGGTTTATATATTTGGTTACATTGTAATGATTGTTTATTCATTCAGAAATTTTTTTTTTCTGATCTTTTTGAGACAGGGTCTCCCGTAGCCCCAGCTGGCCTAGAACTCACCATGTAGAACAGGCTTATTTCAGTCTCACAGAGATCTATCTGCTTCTGCCTCCCAAGTGCTGGGATTAAAGGCACGCACCACCATGCCTGGCTAAGAAATATTTTTAAGCATGTTCTATGAACTAGGCTATGTCAGTATTTAAGGTGCAATATTCAGTAAAAGTAGATGAAGTCCTGTCCCATGGGGAGGAAACAGGCATTACATAAATAACCACAGTAATGAATCCGTGGCTACAAACTCACAGAAAGGTGGTGAAAGAAAGAGATTAAAACTGAGGAAATAATGTTTGAACAAAGAAGTAAAGACAAGATTAAGGGGAGGGGGACTGGCACTCTTGGAAAAGGAGAGAACAGGGACCAAAGCTGTGTGGGACAATGGAGTGTTGTGGGTTTATGTAGGACAGCTAGAGCCATGTGGCAGGAGCACAGAATAGGAAGGCAAGAGGAGCATGGGATGAGGAGGGCACAGCCAGCCAGTGGAGCCTAGCAGGCCACGGTAAGGACATAAAGAGCATCCCTGTGTGAGCTTCAAGCAGAAAGGAGGAATGATCCAGTGTACATTTGGATAATTTCTCTTAGGCCACAGTGTGAAGAATGTGCCTGAGGAGTTCTAGAGAGAATCCCAGGAACTGCCACAGCCCAGGCTAGGCAGGGTGGGAGGTTTGAAACAGGGAGGAGAGGGTGGGTGAACTTGGGAGATATTTAAGAAATAAACTGAGTAGCTGAGTGTGGTGACACACGCCTTTAGTCTCCCAGCAATCTGGAGACAGAGACAGATGGAGGAGGATCTCTGTGAGACTGAGGCCAGCCTGGTCTACATAGTGAGTTCTAGGCCAGCTGGAGACTCTGTCTTTTAAAAAAAGGAAGAAATTGAGAGAATGGCTCTGGGATTTCTGGCAAATGCTGCTGTGTGGGCATCTTGCTATTCACATAGGGAGAAAATGTTCAAGGAAGACTGAAGATGTAGCTTGGTTCCATCCCCAGCACCACAGAAACAGAGAGTGGTGGTACATGCCTGTAATCTGGGCACATGGGAAGTAGAGGCAGGGGGATAAAAAGTTCAAGACCATCCTGGGCAATGTAGCAAGACCAAGGCGAGCCTGAGCTACATGCGACCCTATGTCAAAAAGAGAGGGAGGAAGGGGGGCAGGGAGGGAGGGAGAAAATGTATTGACCTTAGGCTAATGAGTTGTACAAAGTAGTGCTTAAGATTCTTAATAGGCAACCAGATAGTAGGAATTCAAATTCATGGAAGAAAATCTGAAATAAAGATATATAAAATCTAAGAATCAGGGCTGGTAAGAATGCTTGCCACCAAGCCTGATAATCTGAGTTTGATCCCTAGGAGTCACATGGTAGAGAGAACCAACTACCACAAGTTGTCCTCTGACTTCCACATATGCCTTGGCATGTGCATGTGTGGGTGTGTGGGTGTACACACACACATGATAAATAATTTAATTAATGAATAAATAGCTGAATGTAATAAAAATTTAAATTCCAGGACTCACTGAAGGTTTGGTTTCAGAAGATAAAGAGAAAAAACAGTATGAAAAAAGGGACATAGAGATTTGCCATTTGGGGGTCTGAATTCTGGATAGGAGAGCTAGACATTTAAAAAATTTTTTAAATTATTTATTTAATAGCCACATAATTAGAAGAAGCATTTCATGACAACAGCATTGACATATTCAGTAACAATTTCCTGAGATAAGATGCATCTTTTTCAAAATTGGTTGTAAATTTTTAGGTTTACAGTTGAATTAATACAGTTATACAATATAGTACTCAGTATAAACCTTTTAAGACATAAAACTAAATGGGGTTTTAACCTTAAAAAATCTCCATTTCATTATTAAAATACAGTTTCATACACAAAAATTCATTTTTAATGCAATTGACACTAAAATGTTTGCACATGCATTTCTAATCTCTATATATCTGATTATTACTAGTCACAGTCGGTTACTTTCTGAGCTCCTTGGCATCTGAGCATGGATATAAAGTCATCAGGTAGATTTCAATGGTAATGTTTTTCACATCTACTAATTATTAAGGAGTAAATTTTTATGCTTTGAAGAATTATTTTTTAAATTTTTTTAATCTAATAACCACATGATTAGAAGAAGCATTTCATTACAGCTTCACCATATTCAGTAACACACCCCAGAGCAAGGATGCATCTCTTTCAAAAGTGACTATAAATTTTTAGGTTCACAGTTGAATTAATACAGTTAGACAATATTGAACTCAGTGTAAACCCTGTAAGATATAAAATTAGATGAGTTTTTACCATTTAAAGAAGATCTCCATTTCAAGTTATGCAGTTTCCTACATTTTTAAAAACATTTTTTTATTTTTTTTTAGAAGAAGCATATCACTACAGCTTTAACATGCCCAACAACAGTTTCCAGAGCAAAGACACAGTTCCTTCAAAAGTGGCTATAAAATTTCTAGGTTCATTGTTGAATCAATACAGTTATACAATATTGAACTCAGTATAAGCCCTGTAAGACATAAAATTGAATGAGTTTTTAACCCTCAAAAAAGATCTCCATTTCATTCTAAAATATACTGTTTCTTACAGAAAGACTCATTGTTTTTGCTACTAACACTGAGATGTTGGTACAGGTGTCTCTAATCTGTATGTATCTAATTATTACTAGTCATAATCGTTTGGACTTGGATTCTTGGTGCCAGCATATGTCTATAAAGTCATCAGGTAGATTTCAATGGTAATGTTCATCACCTCTACCAGCTAACATGATGCAAACTTTTATGCTTCCACCTTGATTATAATACATTTTTTAAATTGATGATCTTTTTTCTGTGTGTGTGTATATATGACAGAACATGCCAAACCATCTTAATCAACTATACACCCACTTCCCAGATGGCACCCTCCCATAGCCTCCCTCCCCCCACTAGAGCCCTTATACCTGCTATTGTCCGCTGTGTTGTCAGCACCCAGCCGTTCCCCACTACTTGTCCATCTGGTGAATCTAGCCAGCCTATCTAGAGGTCTTTGTTTTAGGAGGGTCAGCTGTTCCTCATCTAGCAGCAATCACTTGTCAATATTCCTTTAGATAAGATTGGGGTCTGCTGTTCATTTTCCCAGTTCTATGCTGGGTTACTATCTAGTAGTCCCTTGGGCCACCCTGGCCAACAACTCAAAAGAACATATCTCCTATCTGGCATTGTTGCTTGTTATGTAGCCTTTAGCTATACATATGGACTTTTAAAAAATTATATTGGCCCCTTTAATCTCTGGCTATACTTTCCTTTTGGGTGTTTAAGGCCATACAGTTGGTGCAGATAAACCAATTTATTTTTACTCTTAAGGTCGTTTGAGGATCTGTTCCTCAGGGGTCTCATGGGCTTGGGAGAAGC